TTGACATTGATTTATTTAAGCTTAATCTACTACCCCATTGTACTTGGTTAATTCTCACCAACTCCTTATTGACATTTTTCTGTTTACAAGCCCACATAATGTGTCACCTATATAAAGATATTTTTTTATATGCTTTCATTCCGAGAATACTCTAAAATATGAAAAATCTTCTAACTGGATATTTGTAACAATCTTTTATAACTATGCTGATATACAGGATGTCCCACATTAGAAGTTTCTAGAGAGATCAATATCTAGAACGGATATTTTTTGTATATCATTAAAAATACAAAAATATTTTCAATATGGCGGCCAAAATATGGTTGCCAGGGACCGAGAGAAATTTAAACAGTTTTTTAACATTATTAAATTCAATTAACCCGAGAATACAATTTACTATTGAAAAAGGTATTAATACCATCAATTTTCTTGATGTTACAATTATAAAACTGTCTAATAGATTACAATTTGATATTTACAGAAAACCCACTACCACAGACACTGTAATACATAGTCAATCACACCAATCCTGGCAAATCAAAATGTCACCCTTTCATAGTTTAATTCATAGATTAGTAATGTTTCCACTGAGCCCAGAGAATTTTAAAAAAGAGTTAAATATTATTAAACAAATCGCCATTAACAATGGATATAAGTGTTCCCTTATTGATAATATGCTAAAGAAAAAACAAAAGAAAATATTAATGAAAAAAAAAAAATGTATTCCGCTAATTCTAAAGACAATAACAATTATCGACTTTTAAACTACATTCCTAATTTAACTAACAAAATATCAAATAATCTCAATAAAATAGGATGTAAAACTATTAACGTAAATAAAAGAAATTTAGGTCAAATTTTATTAAATAATAAAGACAAAACTAATGTCAAAAATAAGTCGGGTGTATATAGGGCGGATTGCAATGATTGTGATGCCGTGTACATAGGCCAAACAGGTAGAAATTTAGATATAAGGATTAAATAACATGTAAAGTCTATTAATAATCTCCAGCATAGTTCTGGTCTTGCAACTCATTGTATAGTAAATAATCACAAAATTAATGAAAACTCAATTAAGTTACTACACAGAGAAACAAAAGGTAGACGCTTAAACTACATTGAACAGTTAGAAATACTAAAATCTGTTAAAAACGAAAATAATGTTAACGACCAACAAGGATTTCTAAACACATTTTTTATTACCCCTATTGTAAACTCTCTGAACCCACCCCCATAGCAAATATATATATAGTTACAGTGTAGTTAGACGATTAGTTCTTAAAAAACTCTTGAAAAAGGCCTAACAAGCCGAAACATATACGTAGAGTTAAAGTTACTCTTATTAAAAGTTTTTTGATACATCTAAAAGCGTGTTTTATTAAAATACTACTTATTTCATATTTAAATTCTCTATAAAATTTTATGAATTTCTATATCAAACATATATATCTATACCTATCATTAACCGTTTTTAAAAAAAATAATTTTTGGAAGAAAACTACTGCCTGTCAAAAATTAAATTGTTTGGATGTCATATAATATTGGCTGTAGGCCGCCATGGAATTGAGAGATTAAAAAATTATCATAAATATGTGTATTTCAAATAATGGAAACCTGCTTTTTTATTTCACTAGTAAAAAGGTTTTTGAATTAAAAAATAATATTTATAGTAGCTATTATGCGACTATTAAGTTCGAGTTAATTTGAAACTATTTGAAGTAAAAGATGTAAAATAAGGCTTGTAAACTTAAATATAATTAAAAGTGTTTAGTAAAACTAGGCGGCAGTTGTGTATCTAACACCGGATGTCGCTTAAGATGCGAGATAGTTTTACTAAGCTTCGTTTTAACTCTATTTAGTATGCCTCAAGTATTTTGTCGTATTCCTCGCCAATAAATATTACTTCTACACACACACAGCCGGTAAGCACACTTGAAAAATAACATTTTAATATTCCAAACATGTCTCTTTACTTTATGTCCTGTTCATATCAATTTTTAATTATCTCGGCACCTGTGGACACTAAGCTTTCGTGTCTGCGTAACATTTACAACATTTTTATTATTTATTTTGCAAGAAAAATTAAAATGTTCGTTCTGTACCTCGAATCAGTTCCTCGAGATTTAAATATTCCGTACTATTAATCAAGAAATACGTTTGTGTATTTCACCAATGTCAGGCAGTTATTGAAACATGGTCAAATAAATAAATTGACAAGTTGAGATCGTTATGATGACATGCATCATGCCATTTAGAGGTAATATGCGCTTGTAATCGAATACCATATGCATTTCAATTTCTATAAACAATTATGATAAAAAAATCCTTAGACGACAAAATCAATTGGAAGTAACATTTAACAGTACGATTATAACAATTTGTAATTGAGTGAAACCGTGAAGGTATCTGTTAAGAATTTACTATTATTTATTTTTCAGTTCACAAATTATACCTTAATACATACAGGATGTTTTAAAAACATATGCCATTATCTCGTGGGGAGATTCCTCAAGTAAAAATAAGATTTATTTTTCAGATTAACATAGATCCGATTCTGCTTTGTTTCGTAGCTACAGGGGATATAGTTTTAATATTTTTTTTTATTTATTATAATTTTCTTTCAAGTACTTTTAGCGATTCGAATGAAATTTTGAGGGTAAAAGCTACCAGGAGCATGTAGGCCACTGACATTTTTTTCTTCTGTTAACGAAATTATTCGAATCACTAAAAGTACTTGGAAGAAAATTATAATAAATCGAAAAAAGGGGATTAAAACTTTAACCCCCTGTATCCACGAAACACATTAGAATCGGTCCCTATGTTGATATGAAATATAAATCTTATTTTTTCGTGAGAAATCTCCCCATGAGAGATGGCACATGTTTTTTGAAACACCCCGTATATTATATAATAATTTGATTACCATTAATTAGTCGAATTTAATTATCTTGGTTAACCATAAAAGATAACATTTGTGGTTAGGTGGTAGTGGATTATATTTAAATTTTATGTATATATGTAATTTAGAATTTATAAATTATTAAAAGTTACGAGAATACGGGTGGATTAAAATATAACCACTAGTGTTTAGCGAATTGTGATTAACTAGTGTTTTACTTTGCAATTAAAAGAATAACTTATTAGCCCTATTTATTGATTGGATGATTATTTTATTATTTTTCTGACTTGTAATATAAATTATTTTTATTAATACTGCTGACTTGAAAACAATCCATATATAAAATTAACGTACGTACTATATTTAGAAGTTAACCTTTTTTACTACATCCAATTTGATATTTGTATGTGATAGAAATTAAAATTGCTATTAATTAGTATTAAAATCACTATTCATTAGTTTAATTGTTAATTATTAACTTGGAAACGTAATTTTCAGTCCGTTCGTGGCCTGGACAGAAATACCAACAGATCTATATATTGATGCACCACTTTACCAAAAAATGTATGCAATTTAAACGTAAATTATAAAATAATTTATAGTTTCATATTTTTGTAATTTTAATTTCAGACTGTTAAGGCCCCCATACACTTTGTTTTTTTGTCCGATTTTAACCGTGCAGTAAAGTGTATGTGGGCCTTAAGATTTTTTACGTCTGGAAAACACCAATACATAGCTTAACATTCGTATCGTCGAATAACCTTTCGACTGGAGGTATTATTGCTTTGCGATATAGAAATACTTCTCAGCTTGCCAAGAATTTGCTAAAAGAATTTATTTCGATCTCATCTACATATATAACAGGTAGGTACCACCCTGAATTGTCCAATAAATAATATAGACTTGCCAAGAAACAATTTTAATAGAGTATTCCTTGTTGCAGATATACAGGGTGAGTTCTAAATAAGTGCAAATATTTTTAGAAGTGGTATATTTCGACCCCAGAAACACGACTATGAGGTTTCTTTCGCGAAAAAAAAATTGGAATTTTTTGCCTCATAATATGGCAACATAGATATTAGATTAAATTTACAATAAAGAAAACATTTATATCCAGAAAAGACCAGTGGTTCACAAAATTTAAGCAAAGAACAAATTTTTTGGTGAATTTTCGAAGTAAAATAATTCGGTTATTTTGGACTTATTTGAAAAATGGTAAAGAGAAAATATGCTTTTTTTATCGACATCTACCAGCCCTGAAAATATTTGCACTTATTTACGACTTACTCGGTATAAATAAAAGAACTATCGTGTATAACTTAACTTTCATAAAACATAGTTTGAACAATATCCATAAGAGAACAACGATCTGGAAAGAATCAGATCGCATCCAAACTTGTCTCGGTGCCATTTTATAGCCAAGTGAGAATTAAATATTAACAAAGAACGCTTCACTGTTTTAAGATACAGATGTTCCTGTTCATTTAACCAACTTTTTTATTTCAGTTTAGCCAGGGAGACTTTTGAAGTAAAAAAAGACAGACAGAGACGCTCGAATAAATGATTCGTTTAATTTTGATTAATGTAATTAAATTTTCGTCGGGATTGCCTTTTTGTGTTGTCATAATTTAATTAATGAGATTGCTTCTAATTTATGTTTGAGTCTTGGCTTTAAAGGCTACCAGGAATAAAAAATATTTCTGATTGAATCAAAAAATAAAAACACTGCACATCTTACGAAAAAATCTAATTTTTGGGACGTTTCCACTTCTAGAACGTGCTCAATTTAAACAAATTTGAGAGCGCCGATTGAAATCGGTTGGCATAAATAGATTCAATTTGTTTTTATATTAGCTATTAGTCTATTTTCGCGCCAAAACATTAAACCAGAATCATCGTCAAAAATAGTTTTGGTAATAGAAGTTTTTTTTTAATTAGCTCTCTAATATGCCCTCATTGAAATCGTTTTATGAAAATTCCCGATTCCAGCTAAAAATAATCGGGCAATGTCGCAAATACTGAAATAGATCTCTACGAAGGGAGGCTTATGGGTAATTTCGTTTTTTTTTAATTACATTAAAATAAAGTGCGATGTACTCACCCATTAAAACTAGAAACCCTGAGGTGATTGATGGCGAAAATAAATCACTAGACTTGCGATGGAGATGTGTTAGTCTTTGTGCGTATCTGTCACTTGCACTGGGCAGTACTCCGGCTTAGAACTAAGGTGTACGGTAAGGAACTCTGCGAGGGAGTTGGTCCTATGTCGATTCTTTTGGTGGGAGCGCGTACAAACACTGAGGGACCGGCAGTGTTCGTTCCCGATGCCAAGCAACTTCTGGCTAAAGTAAGATCGTCAGGCGTAGTAAGTCTATTTCTACTCAGTCCGTTCGGTTTCTGCGAATAATTATGTTGAATGCGCCTCTACAGATGTGGAAAATGTCTGTTTATTTTACGGTGTGGTGTTTAGGCCTCAGGCTCGACCTTAGCTTTCAATGCGACTCATTTCGATATCGTACTTGAGATTTTCACTATCCAAACACCATTTTCCAAAAAATTATTGCCGTTCAGTTCATTAAAAAATATATTCCCTTTTCGTTATTTTTAATGCAATTTTTTTCACCATCATTTAGCCCGATACCTGCTAGAGATGAGTAGATAAGGTACTTTAAATGTACATCAACCTTCATGGACCTATATTTCAATTTAACCAAATTTTGTTTTGCATGAAGCAATCCGCATTCAAAAGTTTTGTAGTCTGGTGGGGAACTGATGTTTGCGTTTTGCCAAATCCTTATCACCGATTTTAGCTGTTCTATTTATTTTGTCGAGGTACCTAAAGGTTCAAATTTATGACTATGAGGAAATCATTACGAACTTAAAAAGTGAAATTGCATATTTTTTACAAAAAGGAATAGAACTAAAACTAAATTTTAAACGTAGTTCTTTTCTGTTGATTTTTTTGACGAACCCTATACTATTGATTCAACACTAAACAAAAATTTCAAATAATACAAAATAAATTCTAATAGAATTACTGTTCCGCAAATGTAAACTTAAAAAACAGTAAATACAACTCAGCAGCAGTTATAATTCCTTCCTTATTCCAATACTCTCCAATACTGATTTATTTGGCTGCATCGTTATTAGCCGGAGAGCTGGCGACATATCTAGAGAACATATTTTAGGCAAGTTAGAATAACAAAAAGAATAAAGTTTAATAACTTGTGAACCCAGAATCCTAAGTCTGGCTGGGGGGTTGGGGGTATTTCGCTACTGCGCAACCCATAACATTTGCAAAAAAATAAATCCAAAAAACATTCTTTAGGCAATTTGAAATTTGTTTATTCTTAAATTTTAGCATCTATTTAACCTAGAAATAAGTGTGCCAGACTTTTTTTTCCGGTTTAAACTGTAACCAGACCATTCCAAATATGTTTAATTATTTATTATACCTGGAAAACATACTTTAGGCATTCTAAAATTTTTACAGCGTGTTTATTAGATGATATTAAAAAATATGTGTTAATTGCCAGACGAATTCAATGGGATTTAATACTTGCCAGACGCGAATAAAGATTTTAAATGAGCGCGACAAAAAAGTCTTATGAGTATCTATAAGCGCGAGAAAGATAGTTTATTGAGACCCGTCGGCAGCCGATGCGGCTGACGTAACAGTATTTTGGAGTATGTACTTCAAATTTTCATAAAATCAATTTTTTTCGGTTTCATTTCAATTATTTGCAGGCTTTTAATTCAGAGATTATTTTGTTGGAATTAAGTTACCATGTACAAATATGTATTTATAAATTAAATATTGACGTGCATAGTGTAAATAGTTTAGAATAATTACTGCAAATAAATATTTTAGCAACTACTAATTTCGCTACTAACTACTAAATCACAATGGATAAAAAACATTTAAGTTGTGTAGTTTGTAAAAAAGTTACTGGTGACAAAGTTATTGTTTTTGATGAAGGCAGACTACAAAAATGCAAAGAATTTTTAAAAGTGCGCCAACAACATGGTTTAAAATTTAAAGAAGTGGTTTTACCAGAAAACGTAGTCCCGACAAAAGGGTACCATGTACAGTGCTAAAAAATAAGTATTCTGGAATTTTATTAAAGTACCTACCATTGTTAATCTTTCTAAATAGATTCAAAAGTAAGTAACAGTGCTTTACTTTTATGCTTAGGCGTTAAAATGACTTTTTTATATTGTCAATCAGGTCGCAAAAATTAATAATAATATAATATGTCACAAAAGTATAATAATAATTATACTTTTGTGACGTTTGAAAAAAATATATTTTATATTATGCTAATTTTTAAATAATTATTCGTCTTTTTATTCTTTCAGATGCAAAATACTTAAATTAAAAAGTCTTCTTCAATCATACATTTTTATTAAAAACGTTTCTTTTTATTTATGCAATATTAGTTAGTTTTTTTTAAGTTTTTACGACTCCAAAATGCTGTTACGCCAGCCGCATCGGCTGCCGACCGGGTCTCAATAAACTATCTTTCTCGCGCTTATAGATGCTCATAAAGACTTTCTTATCGCGCTCATTTAAAATCTTTATTCGCGTCTGGTAAGTATTAAATCCCATTATACATTTTTAGTTATTCTAGCTTGCCTAAAATATGTTCTCTAAATATGTCATCAGCTCGCAGGCTATATATTTTCGTTGTCCGCCGACGACGTGGCCGGTTCGCTGTCAGCAATGCAGTTCCGCGGATAGCTGTCGATATTCAGTAAGATCTACTTCCATCAGTACCGGCACCGGAGAGAGGTCCGTGGATTCGAATCCATCCAGATCTACACATCTCTAAATACCTAAACAAAAAAAATAGTTTTTATTGAAAATTGCCTCTTAAGTGTCTATTACGCTGTACTTTCGGGTCGCTCTCTGCACTCTCGGGTCGCTCTACTTTTTTGGACTAGTGAAATGGACTATTAGTGGTAAAAAGTCGTGTGCCAAATTTCATAAAAATATCTGAAATGGCTCGGATGATATAAAAAAATCCTAAACTGTGAAACCCTGTATCTCGAAAACGAAGCATTGTTTAGAACACTTGTTTATATGAAATTTTTTCCTTAGAAATACTTGAAAACCTACCCTGTAAAATATCGGACACATTTTCAGAAACATCCTGTATGTGTGTGTTTAATCTACATAGAGTGCTAGATAAGTTTAACCACTTTAACACCTTTTAAGAAACCGCCTATTATCATAGAATTAAAATATTTGTTTAGGATAGTTTGTTGTCCGATTCGCAGCAATCTCTGTTGCTCCCTAAATATCTTTAAATAGATAGCCCTATTGTAGGTCGGAAAAAGGTCTTTAAATTACCTGAACCAAAGTCAATTAGAGATAAAAGTGCGCTTTAAATTAGAAAAAGAATGTTTCCGATAAATTTACTTTTTAACGCCATCAGTAAATGTACGAATTGTATTTGAAAAATGCCGTTTTTCGAATTCCTTTTTTCAACTATACGTATCTAAGGTTTCGAAAATAACTTAAAAATACATTACCGTTTCCTGTCTATTTAAATTTAATCGTTCCTCTCCTGTTCGAATGAAAATTTCGGTTATAAGAAAGATAAATTTAGTTTTTCTAAATATCCGGCCTTCTCATAATATTTCATTTAATTTGTTGAGGGGTGAAAAAAAATTTAAAATTTACAAAAAAATTTTTAGAACTCACGGTATATCAGAGATATACCGGGTGCATCTCAAAAGTGGCTCACACCTATAACTTTTTTATTTTTTTTCAGATAAAAAAAAGCGAGATTTGGTATGTTAATATATGACATAAATTAGGATCGACTGCTGTATTCAATTGTTTTTGGTCACTTCCTGTTTCACCGGAAATGACTACACCTTTTGATTTTTAAATGGCACCCTCGGTATTTTTTTACTCTATTCGATAGAAAATGACGTTTTCACTTTAAACAAAATTGTATTTTAAATTTCAATCTAGAGCGCCATGGTTGTATTAAAAACATTATAATTTTTAATCAAGGAGCCTTGGAAAAATAGATTTAATCGTCTAATGTTTTTAGTGCCTTGTCCTGGCCGGTTAAAACATGCCCAAATCGTATTTTTAATCAGAATTCGATTTTTTCAAATGGAACATTTCATTTGGAAAAGGCGTTTTTTACGAATTATTTGGTAAGTACCACACACTTGGTATTTCGAGTCAAATTGTCGTTAAGAATCGCATGTTGCAATTTCAAATAAACCATATTCGAAAATGTCAAAAGTTGACATATAATATGTCATTCTATTCAGTGTGTCATTTTCTGTGGAATAAAGTAACAAAATACTCAGGGTGCCGTTTAAAAATCAGAAGTTGTAGTCATTTCCGGTGAAACAAGAAGTGACCGAAAACAATTGAATACGTCAATCAATCCTAATTTATGTCATATAGTAACATACCAAATCGCATGTGCATTCGCCGTTGTTTCTTAGCTTCAATCTACTGGTGGTTTCAATCTAAGGTGTTCGTTGAGGAGACAGAAAAGATTTGTTAGAACCTCGTGACAATTCGAAGATTGTTCTTACTCACATCAAGAAAAATCTGTGACTGAGTCTTCCAGGTTCTTGAGTTCCGTTTTAAGTTTTTGGTTATACTGTACAGGGTGGGTCAAATTCGACGCTTTTAAATGGAAACACCCTTTTCTATAGGAGATAGACGAAAACTAATATCGGTGTCTGGAGCTCAATTTTCATCAAAAACATGATGGTGAAAACCACACATCAATATCTGTTACCGTTTCGGAGTTACAGGGGGTTTTTCAAAAATGTGCATTTTTAACAAATCGCTGTAACTTTTAAGTTTTAGTATATTTTTTTTTTAAATTAATAATTTAAGAGTTATCAACAGAAAAAATCATTTTTTATTTGGGACACCCTCTATATTTTTAATTAACTGAAAAGAGTTTAAAATTACCTTTCCAAAAAGATAGCACACTTGATATTTTGTTATAATCCCCTTCGAAATACAGAATTTTTAAAAGTTCGCCACTTTTAACTAGTAGGCTTTGGGCCCCTTATTGATGATATGCTCTTAATGGAACTCGAATACATATTTTTCCAGCAAGACAACGCACCGCCTCTGAACACTGAAGTTATCAGCAAATTTTTGCAGCCAATTTCAAGAATAATTGAATAGCTAACCAAGGCCCAGCCGTTGGCCGTCGAGGCCGCCTGAGTGCCCATGGATCTAATCCTATGGATATATTTGCGGAAGTATAAAGGTTTCTTATTCTTCCGTATAATCTAGACAAGAATTAGAAATACTTAGCAGTTATGAGAGGGTATCTTTCACCCCCACTGTGTTAATGAATTCCGCGAGAAATGTTCAAAAA